CTCCGCACTCTACACTTTACACTCTACACTCTACACTGTCCACTCCACACTTCAGACTGGTAACAGGGGAAATATGTGTATACAAGGCTGTTCAAATAAACTAATTATTGCAGAAAATTGTTCTGAGATGTTCTGAGTGACTGCATATCCATTAACATACGTGTGAGCATTCGGGTTCGTGGGCTGCATCTTGTTCGTCTCCCCACCCATTTCCAGCCACTCCCTTGCACCCACGCCGTCCGCAGCCGTCCACGCAATTCTCCGCACCCATTTCCCGCCCGCAGCCGTCCGCGCAGCCAAGCTCGCTCATCCCCAGCGGCTTCTGGCGCAGCCACTCCCTTGCACCCATGCCGTCGGCAGCCGTCCGCACAATTCTCCCCACCCATTTGCCGTTCGCAGCCGTCCGCGCAGCCAAGCTCGCTCATCCCCAGCGGCTTCTTCTCCCGAACCATTTCCAGCCACTCCCTTGCACCCGCGCCGTCCGCAGCCGTCCGCGCCATTCTCCGCACCCATTTGCCGTCCGCAGCCGTGCGCGCAGCCACGCTCGCTGATCTCCAGCGGCTTCTTCTCCCCACCGTCCGCAGCCGTCCGCGCAATTCTCCGAACCCATTTCCCATCCGCAGCCGTCCGCGCAGCCAAGCTCGCTGATCTCCAGCGGCTTCTTCTCCCCAATCCCTGGCACCGCAATTCTCTCTACCCATTTGCCGTCCGCAGCCGTCCGCGCAGCCAAGCTCGCTCATCACCAGCGGCTTCTTCTCCCCACCCATTTCCAGCCACTCCGTTGCACCCACACCGTCCGCGGCCGTTCGCACAGTTCTCCGCACCCATTTCCTGTCCGCAGCCGTCCGCGCAGCCAAGCTCGCTGATCTCCAGCGGCTTCTTCTCCCCAACCATTTCCAGCCACCCTTGCAGCCACGCCGTCCGCAGCCGTCCGCGCAGCCAAGCTCGCTGATCTCCAGCGGCTTCTTCTCCCCAACCATTTCCAGCCACCCTTGCAGCCACGCCGTCCACAGCCGTCCGCGCAGCCAAACTCGCTGATCTCCAGCGGCTTCTTTCCCACTCATTCCTTTCCCCCCTTCCTTCCCCTTCCTGTCCGCCTTCCTTTCCGCCTTCCTTTCCCTTCCTTTTCCTTCCTTTCCCATCCTTTCTTCCTTTCCCTTCCTTTCCCTTCCTTTCCCTTCCTTTCCCTTCCTTTCCCTTCCTTTCCCTTCCTTTCCCTTCCTTTCCCTTCCTTTCCCTTCCTTTCCTTTCCTTTCCCTTCCTTTCCCTTGCACCCACGCCGTCCACGCACCACCGTTCAAACCAGCTCGCTCCCCAACGCGGTTAAACAACTAAACGAGAACCCAAGCATCGAAGATGCTTTTGGGAAAAAAGTAAAACTACATCTACAACTGCAACTACAATTCTACAACTGCATTACACTACACTACGCTAAGTACAATTCACTACACTACACTACACTACGCTACACTACACTAACTAGATCACACTACAGCACACAACACTACACTACATTACCTTAAGCTACATTACCTTACACTACACTTATTACGCCACACCACAACTACAGCTGCAACTACACTACACTAATTACACTACACTACGACTACAACTCCACTACACTTCAACTACAACTACAGCTGCACTACACCACACTACATCCAGCAGTTGTGGGTGAGGTGACCAGCAACCGCTCCAAAAGGCACAGCTCCAACCACCTTGTGGTCCATCAGTGGATTCCTTCTGCCATCCATGCATGACAACAACTCACCTCTCAAATAGTGTCTTATTTTTGAAACTTCCGCCACCGCCTTGCGCGGTACTACTGGTAATGTTGACGTGGATGATCGAAGGAAGTTTAGAAGTCAAACTTCCGACAATGCGGACAGGTGAAAAGCACAGGTGGGAAGATTCAGAGAAGAGAAGAAGAAAGAAGATCAGAGAAGAGACAGAGCCAGAATAAAGAAGATGCAGGTGCGCCAAAAACATGTTGACTTCGAAATGTGCTTCGCGCCACAGGGGCGTACACTTTTTCAACATCTCAACTTCCAAAAGTGCTCCGAACCTGTCAGTTTTTAACACTTTTGACTTCGAAATGTGCGTCGCGCCACAGCGGCGTGCACATGTTCAACATCTCAACTTCCAAGAGTGGTCCGAGAATGGTGTGCTTTCTACAGTTTCACTTCGACATGTGCTTCGTGCCACAACGACGTGCAATTGTTCATCTCTCATCCGGCCAGATGGCTCCCCTGCATCTTCTTTCTTCTGACCCTTTCTCTTCTCTGATATTATTTCTTCTTCTCTTCTCTTCTCTTCTCTGTCTCTTCCGACCTCTGTTTTTCATCTGTCCATATTGTCGGAAGTTTGACTTCTAAACTTCCGTCGATCATTCTCAACATCATCACCTTCCTCCTTCTCGACATCATCATCCTCCACCTTATCATCCTCCACTTCATCTTCCGCATTACCACCCCCATCCTCATCCTCCTCGACATCATCATCCTCCCCATCATCACCCTCCACCTCATCTCCCGCAACATCATCATCCTCCACCACATCTTCCGCAACATTATCATCCTTTTCATCAATCATCTTCCTCAACATTATCATCCTCAACATCATCATCTTCCTCCTTCTCAACATCATCATCCTCCACCTTATCATCCTCCACTTCATCTTCCGCGTTATAATCCTCATCCTCATCCTCCTCAACATCGTCATCCTCCACATCATCATCCTCCACCTCATCAACCTCCACATCATCCTCCTGCACCTCGTCATCCTCAACATCAACATCCTCAACATCATTGTCCGCAACATTTTCATCCTCATCCTCACCCTCAGCATCATAACCATCGTCATCATCATCATCATCATCATCATCAGAATCCTCATCGTCATCAGAATCCTCATCATCATCATCATCATCATCAGAATCCTCATCGTCATCAGAATCCTCATCATCATCATCATCATCATCATGTTTGGGATCTCTTGCCGGGATAGTTTTACAACCGTATTTTTCCCGAAAGCGGAACGAAGGGTTCTCGTTTGATGTTGGCGATGTGAGGATGGAGGCGCGTTCGCGGGAGGTTGCTCGTATGTTCGCAGCCAGTCACAACCGGTCGTAACTTCACGATGAAGGCCCTAGCCGTACCGTTGGCGATTGCTGCACTTTTGGAAGTTTGAAAAGGCGTGTACTGTGGTTTTGTGTGGCAAGCATGGCACTTCGTAACATTCCGACGTCGTTGGTACAGTGTCAAAAATCAATCTAATAATGTTCCATTATGTAATCATTATGTCACTTCCACACATCACTCTCAGGTCCCAACATGCGATCTACTTCATGCTGTTCACGCACTCAGGCTCTCTCTGCTCTCTTCCACCAATCCCCAGCATTTCAGAACTGGTACCTGAACCATATATAACCACATGCGCTCCACGGGGTTCAAGAGGGGGAAAACATACAACATTGGCACAACTTCGGAGAAGGCAGCGCTCCACAGACTTTTTCCGAAGGCTCAGAGAGGTCGTGATGAGATGCGCTATGTCCCAGGTCAAAGACACGCGGCTATCAATTCCTGCTTCGAATGTCTCTGATGTCACCGTGTGATGTCACTGATGTCTGTGATCACCTGACGGAAGTCTTTGCGTCTCACAGGAATTCTTGGCACAGAGGCAATGGAGGCAATTGAGGCAATTGGGGCCTGGCTTCGTCGCCTTCTTTGTCTCTCCGACACCCAGCATCGATGACACACTTTGATACACCGGGCGCTTATGGCGCGGATCTTTCGAGCCAGCGTGCTGCAAACGGTACACTGTGGTACCACGTCTCACGCTTACGGCAAGAAAATGCAGCGTTTAGATGTTGAGTTGTCAGCAATGCGCCAACGTACCATGTAATGGGCAATCTGGGTGGTGTCTTGGGTGCTTGGCACGGATCGGGGCACGATGCATCTCAATCTGGAGCTCAATGCATCTCCTTAGTTGATGGTAGTCCCGGTTTTTCTCAGTTTCTACATTCATCTGCCCGTATCGAACTCCTTGAATTTTGAAGCTGTCGTGCCGATATTGGCCAAGTTTGTCATGGCCACGTTGGTGTGGCCTCAGACCCACGGCCGCAGCAAAGTCATATCCTTTCCTCTGACCCATAGGGTGTGGTCCCCTATTCGGTTCTGAAGGTTTCGCACACCCTGTGCCACACAATACTAAAATGGTCTTAAGATGTCTTAATGATTATTTTGGGTCACTGCTTTCTTGCCGTGGGTCTCCGAGCTTTAAGGCCTTGTCGGAATAAACCTGAGCAAACAGGGTGGCATAAATTCTTTTTGCTCCCCAAGTGGCGCTCAGACACTTCTTATGTCACCTGGTTGAAACTGTCTCCAGAGAACCAAAACATGCTTCGAAGCAAAATGTTAATCACAGGAAGAACTCATAGGGCGGCATGCAGTACTGATTTGTTAAGGGCCTTTTAGATTTTTTTAGCCCCAATGTATTCCCACCAAACCCCTGAGGAACCCCAACAGATTCCCAAGTCACCCCTTGAGATTCCCACTGAAGCCCCTTGCAAACCCACAGCTGAAGCCAGCTGCCAACTCAGTTTTGTTTTGTCCCTTGCTGTAAAAAGTCATGAGTTCCAAAGGTCAGCAGCATTTCAGCAGCATCCCAGATTGCCTGCCACAGGGAGCCACATCAATAATGAGCAAGAATGTGTAACCAAGTGCTGCTTCAAATTGCTGCAGTTGAACATTTAAGCATGTGTGTCACTTGATTCAACATGCCAAAGATGCTTCCAAAAGTGCATGTTTTTCCTTCTGCTGCAAGCTCTGATTGTTTCTGAAGCTCAAAATGAGCTGACAAACTCACCTTTGGTGAAATGAACTGCTTTGAAAAGGCCAATGGGAACAGGCAAAAAACAGGTGTGGAAGTCAACTCAGCTTGCCAATCTCCAATAAATAATTTGCTGAATTTTAAAATAAAACCTTGAAAGTTGAATCATATCATTTCTTCCCAGAGGCCTTCTTCTCTGGTGGTAAATTGTTGATAAAAGGCTCTAGGGCTTCAAGAACTTCATTTGGCACAACCCCTGGCTCTTGGGGTTCCATCCCAATGGGCAAAGGCAAGTGTTTCTTGACATAGGACCATTTTTCCCAGACCCTCATGTGGCACTCAGCCAAGGCATCTTTCCAAGGTTTTCTTGTAAATTTTCTGCTAAAATGTTTCCCTTTCAAGTCTTCAGGCATGCCCTTCTCAATCCCCACCCAGGAAGTCATGAACCTGTGGTCATTATGGTTCAGAACCATCCTGGCACCAGGGGGCAACATGTGCACAAAGACCTCCTGTGGTGTCTTGTAAACCTTGGGTCTCTTGACTGCATGTGCTGGCTCTGCTGGTGGTGGCTCCCCACTTGGTGCTGGAAGCTGGCTTGCATCCTCTGCAACATCTGCTGACTCTGCATTCTTTGATGGGCTAAGAACTGGGCTGGCAGCTTCTTCTGGAAGCTGCTGGGTGGAAGCTGCTGCTTCCTGTGGTGGGTGAGGAAGTGATGCACCTTCTCCTTCTTCTGCTGCACCTGGAAGTTGGCTGAATGCTGTTGCTTCCTGTGGTGGGTGAGGAATTGATGCACCTTCTCCTTCTTCTGCTGCACCTGGAAGTTGGCTGGGGGAAGTTGCTTCCTCTGGTGGGTGAGGAAGTGATGCACCTTCTCCTGCTTCTGCTGGGCCTGGAAGTTGGCTGGGGGAAGTTGCTTCCTCTGGTGGGTGAGGAAGTGATGCACCTTCTCCTTCTTCTGCTGCACCTGGAAGTTGGCTGGGGGCTGTTGCTTCCTCTGGTGGTTGAAGAAGTGAGGGGCCTGTTTCTTCTTCTTCTTTTTCTGCTGGACTTGGAAGTTGGCTGGGGGCTGTTGCTTCCTGTGCTGAATCTGGCCCTGCTTGGCATGGGTGCTGGCTCTCCTCTCCATCTCCTGCAGCTTCTGCTGGTGCCATCTTTCCTTTGCCTCTGCCTTTCCTTCCCCTTCCTCTTCCTCTACCCTTTCCTCTCCCTTTTCCTTTTCCTTTTCTGTTTCTGTCTGGCACTCGCTGGTCTGCTGCTTTCTTCTGGTACCTCTTTTTTCTCTTTTTCTCTTTGAGCTCTTTGAGATCCAAAGTGTTTGCATCCTCCTCATCCAAGCAGCTGACAACATCCTCTAAGTCACTGTCAAAGGGTTCCTCCTTGGAAGCTTGCTCAAAAGAACTCATGGCATGTTTTCTTTCCTCTGGATCCCCAAGCACACTGTCAACCAAAAGCTGATGCATACCAGCTTTGCTAGTGCCAGCAGGGATTTTAATCCCCAGTGACTTCAACAGCCTCCTCAGCTGACCAACATTGACAAAAAGGGCATTCTTGGCCAAAGCAACTACCAAAGGCATAGGTGGCCCAGTCAGGGCCCACTCAATTGCACCCACATCTGAAACAAAAGGCTTGGCAGGCACATGCACCCAGTCATTCATATCAACAATGTGCCACCATTGCAAGAGCATTCTGTTGGGCCTCATGAAGTAGGTTGTGTTGCTGGACGCATCCATTTGCCAAGTGAGAACACCATACTCTGCAGCACCCACAATTTTCAGCAAGGATCCAGAAGGCTGGTGTGCCAGCAAGTCACCAGGCCTGCCTGCAAAGCATGATACCCAGCTATCATCAACAGAGGCTCCAATGTGATTGTTCTGCATGTATGACCAGCACCACTCTGTGGCAGCAAGTGATGAAAACAAACTGCCTGGGGCAGGTGAAGGCCACCAATTGGCCCCTTGCCTTTTCCTCATCATCCTTTGAAGTCCTTCATCAAGTTTGTGCCCCCTTGGGTTCATGGAACTTGCCACTTTCACCTTTCTGAGGTTCCTGTTGCTGTAAATGATCTCTTGGGAGTCCACTTGCACAGTGTTTTTCACTTTCCTTAACTCCAAAGCACCAGACTTGATTGTCCCAAACATGATGGACACATCTGGCACAGTATTGTTTCTGCTGCCCCTCTGCAAGTCAGGCCCTTGTTGGTGTGCAACCTCAACAACGCTGGAGTCACCCACAGTTTTTGCTATCAAGAGCTGGTGTGGAAAAGCAACCCCATCTTTGCAAGGCAATCCTCTGAGCTTATCCTGTTCATGGGCCATGCACAACACTCTGGTGAATGCCCCAAGCCTCCAAAACATCTTTTCTAAGCAGTCCACTTTGTTCTTGGTGTGGAGGCTGGCTGCCTCAAGCTTCAACAGCAACTGCCACTCTTTCAACAAATTGTCCCTCATACTCTCTGCCTCAAAATTGCAAGGGCTGAGGACACCATTCCACCTCATTGGTGGCAAAGTGTATGCTGCAGCTAGGGAAGTGGCCCTGGTGCAAAGGAGATTGTGAAAATAGTCACAGTGGTGTGCCAGGAGCTGGTCATTGTCCTGGGTGTCTGGGTACATGTGTCTGAGCTCCTGCTTGTCCCACAAAGAGTTTGCCACCATCTCTTCCAATTCATAGGCCCAAAACATCTTCATGCTGCTGGCCACATTGTGTTCCAAAACCTGCTGTGGGTTCACAACATTCCTTGCCCTCTCTGCATGTAACTTCCAAGTTGCCTTGGTCACAATGAGCAGCATGTCTAAGGTGGCAACACTCTTTTGTGTAACCATCTTGGGGGCTAACCCCCAAACCCCTTGGGCCCTTTTCAACTCATTCAGCTCCCTTTGTGCATCTGCTTTGTCCTGGGCTGCATTTGGCTGCTCTGGCTGTTGTTGCTGCAGCTGTTTTGGAAGTTCCCCTGGGCCATCTTCTCCATTCCTGTGCTGGTCAGACTGAAGGACCAATTTTGTCCCCCACATGTCTCCTCTCCACTCCATAGCAACCTCAAAAAAGCTCATCCATCTCATGAGCTTTACCAAGCCACCTTTCTTTTGAAAATTGGACATGTAGGCTAGGCTTTTGAAAAGCTGCTCTTCTTCCTCTGGGCTTTCAGGTTCTCTCTGTCTCCTCTCCCTGCAAATGTCAGGGATAAATGATTGGAAGGTTGGGTCTGCTCTGGTTCTTGTAGACATGAAATTTTCCAAGACATCTTGTTTTTTGTAGAAGAATGCTGAACTCCCAAAGGGGGAGTAGTTGATGTTGAAGAGAAGCACCAGCTGGAGTATGCTCTTCCAAGGGTACCCAAGTGATTTTTTGGCACTCAGTTTCACATCATTCCATCCTCGATGGAACCAGTCATATTGCACTTGCATCATCAGCCTCTCTCCACTGTACATGAGAAAATTGAGGCTGGCAGTGTTGCTTGGTCCCTGGTCTGATATTGAACAAAGGGATGGCAAATCTTTGAGCACCAAGGAAGCTGGAATCTCAGGCCTGGGCAACTCATCACCAGGGCCAGCAATGTACCATGCACCATTCCAGAAAATTCTCACCTCACCCTGCTGGAGTGGCCTGGCCAAAAGCTCTGCAGGGGTCCTGAAGTCCATGATGCTGCAGCCAGCTGCACACAAGAGAGCATGTGAAAGGCACCTGAGCTCTGAGTATCCTTCCAAAGTCCCAAGCTTTGAGGCTCTTGCATCCTCTATGAAAGAATCTTGAAGGTCAGACATAAGCATTCTCCTCAGTTGTTGGTTTGGCATGTAAGCCACTGTGTCAGTGGCAAGTGAGTACAAGGTGCTCACCAGAGTGTTCTTGCCACCATATGTTGAAGGATCCCATGAAGTGGAGAACTGCCTTGGGCCATTTGCAAAAGCCTTGGCCACCTTCTCATTGTAAAGCACCACTGTCATGTGGGCTTCTCTCTCCACCAAATCACTATGCTTTGCTGTCAGGGAGGTATGGGTTGATGCAACCCTCTTTCTGCAATTCTTGTGCTGCTTCAACTTGTCAAGGAGGATAAATTTGTTGACCTGGTCAGCTTTTCTCTTATGCCTGCCACCCTTTGTCATCAAGAGTGGCAAATCCTGCAAAGGCTGTGTTGCCAAGTGCTTGGCATTGTCATCCATGATCTTGCCCAACCAAAGCAGCAAATCTGGCAACACTGGCTTGCAAACATCCTCAAACAGGTTGCACTTGCTAAGGACTTCTTTGGGATGTGCCACCAAATAGCAAAGGAAGAACAAAACATCCTGCAAGGTAGAGGAATCAAAGGAGCTGGTAATTCTCAAGCTGCACCATGGTTGATCTTGAAGTTTGGACCACAAATCTTTGGCAGCTGGGCTCAAACCTGCCAAATTGCACCAGTCATTTGTAACACCCTGGGTTGTAAAGGAAACTTCAACCCTGTGCAGTACCCCTTCACCATCCAAGACACACAGGCCAACAGGTGGTGGCCTGGTGCCAGCAGATTCAATGATTGAAGCAACCAACTTGTTGAGAAATGACATGGCTGCAGCCTTGTCATCACAAGAAAGCCTTCTGTGCTTGACCTGGTAGAAAAGGAATGTCAGCAAAGCCCTTGAAGTCAAGGTGTGGTCTGACCAAGGCTCCATTTCTGTGTGCTGGTGGCCTACCCCCTTGTAACTCAAGTCTCCTGGTGGCACACCAAACTCCCTCAAAGTCTCTTGCAAGCCCTCCAAGTTTTTTCTCAGGTAAGCTCCACCTTCACACTTGGCCTTCAAGTGCTGATGCACCCTCTCAAAAAGCCACTGGGGGTCACCATGCTCAGTGAAGTAGGCCCTCAAATTCAATCCTCCCTGCGTCCAAGTTGTGACCAAAAACTTTGGCCTGAATGGCCCTGGATCTCCACCATTGTTGTCATCATCAACATCCATGCCATCAATGCAAGCTACTCTCGATAAAACTGTCTTGTGCTTTCCAACTGCCTTTTAGTTCCTAGCTGCATGCCACAGCTTTGATTCTTTCAAAAGCTTAAAAACATATGGCATAGCACTGTGGCATGTGACAACCCTTTGTAAACCTGGTGTGCTGCCTTTAAAAAAAATAGGCTTCCTACTGTGGGCATGAATGCCTGGCTGCCCTCCAGTCTTGAGTGAAGGCAAGGGATTCTGAAAACTCAAGTGCAAACTCACCAATGACATGCCAAATGCCAGCAAAATCTGTCAGTGAGCAAGATTGCACTCAGAATGGCATCCACTGTTGAACAACTGTTGGCAAGCAATAATTTAAACATGCCTGCATGGCCATAATTAGGGAAAGGTGCTCTCCAATAGCAGCTGGTTGGTCATGTCAAAGAAGCCCACAGGGCATATGATGCATCATATCTCAAAGGCCTGTGTCAGTCAGTGATGGCACCCAAGAAAATCAATACCATGATCACTGAATCATGTGGCATGGTCACTTGCCCCTTGCACAAGACATTGCTGCTAGTGGCAACAAGCTGGTGATTGGATGCCAAACTACCTGGCCTCACTGCCCAAAAATTGAGAGCCAATCATCCAATGGGGTCCTGAGATGTGTAGTTCCACACATGGCTTTCTGGCTCCAATGATGGAGTATGTTCATTATTGTGAGTATGAAGCTGCCCCAACTCTGTTCTGGAAATTATGAAGGTGGCATGTCCATGTCTGTCATGTCTTGGGATTGCAAATGCCAAGCAAGTCAAAATAATTTCAGGCAAGGCTCCTAGTGCCTCCATTTCTCAGCATCAAGAAGACCAGCAGGAAGGCAAATGCAATGGGCATGTCCTCTTGGTGCAACCTCCTTGCACATCCTCAGGCAGCTCTGACTGACCCTGGTGGCTAAAAGCCTTGAAGTTTTGAGACTTGACTTGGAACAAATCCATGGTAGGGTAGTCTGTGACAACAATGCTTCAAACCATAAACTGCAGCAAACAGAAAAACTAAGTTGAGCCAAATGACTTCCAGCAGCGCAAGCACATAGAGCACTGGCTGCAGTACCATGGGGCCTTCTTGGCTGAGAGTGGTGTGGTGCCCACAGGAATGTGCCTGTGTGCACAGCCTGCTGGCATCAGGGCAGTCCTTGGCAGACAGAAACAGGCAGCCTTGTCATCCACTGAAGGCCTGTTGGACTGCAAGGCCCTGGAGGACAGAAGCAGGGACTTCAACATTGTGAAGTCCACCAAAATGCTGGAGCAGGCTTCACCTGGGCTGTAGTTGAAAAAGATGCCTTCCATGTACTTCATGTAGATGTTCTTTGTGGCAGCCCTGCTGCCAGGCTCTCCAAAGCAACTGACTGCCAGCTCCAGCTGGCCATCCTTGAAGTGCTTCCCCATGTGATTCTTGAGCTGGGACATCTCATAGGTGGTCATCCACACCCTCAGCCTCAGGCCTGCATCCATCCTGATCAACTCCCCAGACTGCCTGGCTGATTCTTTGTCTTCCTCAGTCTCAGTCAAGCCATCCTCACACTCTTCTTCATCCTCAGGGCTGTGCTCTGGGGAGGCCACTGTGCCTGCAGATGGTGCAGCCTCAGGCTCACCAGAACCACTGCCCTTACCATGGCCCTTACCTTTGGCAGCAGCCAGGGCGAGTTTGGCTGCCTGCCTCTTCTTGGTGCAGTCATTGCAAGGGCAAATGATGTCAGGCATAGGGCCAGATAGAGGACCTGAAGCAGTGGAATCAGCATCATCATTCTCCATAGGCACATCATTGGTGTGTAAGTTGCTCATGGCCAAGCCTCAGGGCATTGTTTGGGATTCCATGGTGATGCTGTTAAATTGTGGTATTATCATTAATTAAATAATAAATATATATATATTAAATTTATAATAATTAATAATATATATATATCTATATTTATAATTATAATAAATAAATTATACTCTCTATATATATAACTATGTATATTTATATACTATATTATATATATTATATAGATATATAAATATTAACTATTATTAAATATTATTATATTATATATAATATATATTATATTTAATAACTATATATTTATAATATAATATAACTATATAATATTATATTAGTTTAACTATATATTTATATATAATACTATATAATTATATAATTATATTATTATTTATATAAATATAATATATATATATATAATAATATATATACCTGGTGTCCACCAACACTCATAATAAATTCCAACAAAACTAAATGTAATTATTAATGAGCCTGGAAACAGGCAAGGCTGGTGATGGGCCCAGCTCTGCAACTGCACCAAATGAATTAGTGTAACACAACAAATTTCAACAAAACCTAAATGTAATGAGCCTAGAAACAGGCAAGGCTGGTGATGGGCCAGCTCTGCAACTGCACCAAATGAATTGGTGTTGGGCCACAATTTCTGCACAGATGCAGCATAGCACTGTGGCACTGCAAGATAGGTTTCCCATTTTTTTTGGGTACAAGTTAGACTTTCATGGGGTTGAGTCTGGTGGTTCTATAGGTTTTTGTTGGTGGCTTTTGGGATTTAACTGGTGTTTCTATGGGATTTTTTTGGGCACCATGAAATTCCCTAATGAATCCCATTCAATTGTTAAGAAAACCCACATGATTCCCACACAAACCTAATTCATTCCCACAAAAACCTAAATAATTCCCAAAAATGGGCCTGGCACACCCAAAGGATTTCTAACTTATTCCCAATCAATTCTCAATCTAGTCCAACCAATTCCCACAAAAACCTAAATAATTCCCAAAAATGGGCTGAACCCCCATCAAACCCTAACAAATTCCCATTCAAATCCCAACCAATTCCCATTCAATTCCCAACCAATTCCCAACCAATTCCCAAAAATGGGGAAAGGCTGTGGGGCCTGCTAGCACCAGTCCTACTTGAAAAAATCAACTTAAACAGAATGCTGCCCTTTTTTTCCCAGCACAAAAAACTAAAACCATCTATCTGTTTGAAATTTGAACATGAATAACTGAATGATGGTGGGTATAAATATTCTCAGGCTCAACATGGTTTAATAATATAAATTATATAAATTTATTAATGGCCCATGTTTCCCCACAAAGTTATAATTTGCTGGTGCACTGATATTAACTAAATCCCCCAAACTTGTGGTGGTATAAACCACAGTTGTGGTGATGGAACCCAACCCATGCTTTTTTGGTTGGTTGATGGCAAATCCATATTATTTAATCAATTTGGTGGCCCCTGGTGATCTGATTATGGTACCTTTTTTTTGTTGGTTGTTCCCCCTTACTTACAGGTGGTGTCACCCTGCCCCTTTTGCACCACAGAAGGTGCAGTCTGCTGCCAGTTGACTCTAGCCATCTTGCTGTCTGAGTCTGCTGGTGGCCCCCACTTTGGTGGCACCCAAGGCACAATGTGGCACCCAAGCCACTGAGAACCAACTTGGTGGTAAACCCAATTTGTTATTACTGCATACTTATCAATGTGAATTCCAGGATCCTAAAATGGAGGTACTGTACCATATTATTATTATTATATAAGGCCATATTTTCCAGGGAGATTCCTTACATGACATAGGCCTTACATAGGCCTTATAAATATTAGGTGCCTCAATTTTTAGGATCCTGAAATGGCCATTGAACTTAATTACTTACCAATAATAATATATATGTTGAATCTTAAGAAATAAGTTGCTGGCACTGCATCATCATGACAGACATATCAGATTATCATATATTTTTATTAAATCAATATACTATAAGAAAATATTACAACAACTACACTATCATGATAATTGTTGTAAATTTGTTAACAGGCATTGATTAAATAACATTATAAATTTTGATGATTGATTTTAGTCATAAATATTATTATTTGAATTGAATATGTCATTGTGTTGTTGTTGCATTATTATATTGATTATTATTAAAATATGTTATTAATCATTAAATAATTATTAATAATAATAAGTTATCCTATGGCATCATCAACCATAATAAATTTACTACATCAACATGTGCTAACTGAGTTACTGTTAATTATTACTATTGTGATGTCATGCCACATGATTAGTGATATTGTATTTTCAAATAACCATGGCATTCTTAAATTTAATTTATAAATGAACTGTTACACCATTGATTAAGTGTTTTCAGATTTACTGTATTAGCATTTATGTATTCAATGTTAATACCTTTCATACTTCAATATTTAAACAAATATGTCATGGTATAACAGTAAGTTACAATACTAAGTTACTATACTACTAACTAAACAAATAATTGCCACATGGCATAAGCATAGCAAAACACACCTTAAGTATGACATGATGAATTCTTGTTGAATAGTATTATGGTTTACCTGCAAAATGCTTTATGATTCTGGTATCCAATTAATTATTTATAATTATTAATTTTATAATATAATAATACAATCATCATTTATTATGTCTTAATATATTGAATTGATATAATTATTATCCATCATCATTCAATTATATATAGATTGATTTGCTCAATAATAATTATATTATCAATTTAAACTGTTATTATATTATTTTGTCATAACTTTTAAAGACTGTATAAGTATACTTATTTTGTTTGAGTAAGACTTTAAGAATATTATATGGTGCCTATGATTCTAGATAATTAGTCTTAGTTATTCTAAAACTAAGTAACTGACTAGACAAAGCTTATCAAAGCTACTGTATGATTGCTTCTTGCAGGAACTGCCCAGCAAACACCTGAACACTAAGTCCCAACACTCCCTTCAGTGCTGGGGTTCTGTGCTGTGTCTCATGTGACTGGCTTGGCCCACCACCCCTACAGGCCACAACAACTATTAATTATTATATAATATTATGGTGTTTTCAAGTTGTCACCTTTGTTCAAAGCAATTAGTTGCCATTATTTTATTTAAATACACCCTTTTCAATCCTGCATGGTGTTCCAAGCCCAATGCCAGC